AATAGGGCCTGAGGATTAGATGGCAGTAATATATCATTACTTTCCTGATTTTAGTAGTTGCATTCTGATAGAAGAATGTCCTTATTTGTACACATTATTTCCTTATTCATAAGAAATACACGTTAAAATATCAGGTGTTGGGGGGGGTATTATGTCATTCAAATTGTTGTGGAAAAATAGTTCAACTTGAGGGCTGGGGTTGTGGCTCAGTGGTACAGCACTTGCCTAGCATGTGTGAGGCCCTGGATTCAATCCTCAGCACCTCATTAAAAAAAAAAAAAAAAAAAAAACGAATAAAGGTAGTGGGTCCAATTACAACTAAAAAAAATTTAAAATAAAAAAGAATTGCAACTTTAATTCAAAACCTGAATTTTGGGGGCTGGTAACGTGACTCAAGTGGTAGCGTGTTTGCGTAGCATGAGTGAGGCACTGGGTTCGATTCTCAGCACCACATAAAAATAAAATAAAGATATTGTGTCCACCTAAAACTAAAAAATAAACATATATATTGAAAAAACCTTGAATTTTGTTACATATAAAATAATGCATTTCAAAGGAATTTTCTACTCTGACATTCATATGATTATATCTGCAGTGAAGTCTTTGCAATAATATGAGGAAAACATCAATATTATTTATTTACTAACTAGAAATATTGAAAATCATAATTATTATAATAAATATCAAAAATAAATATATTCTTCAAAGAGTTAAACACCGAATTTTCATATGACCTAGCAATTCTCCTTGTTATATACCTAAGATTATTCAAAATATAGGCACACCAAAAATATCTGTACACAAATGTTCATACTAGCATTATTAATAAAAGTCAGAAAGTAGAAACCCATTAGCTGAAAAACAGATAAGATTTGGTAATCTATGCAATATAATTTTTTAAAATAAATTTTTAGGTACTGTATCACTGAAGTACATCCGATCCCCAGCAATTTTTTTTTTTTTTGGTAGTTGTGGATGGACAACATGCCTTATTTTATTTGTATTTTTATGTGGTACTAAGGATGGAACCCAGTGCCTCACATATGCTAGGCAAGTGCTCTGTCACTTAGCTACAGCCTCAGCCCTGCAATAAAATTTATTAACAAGAATAAAGTACTGATTAATTTATAATATGAATGAACCTTGAAACTATTGTGCTAATTGAAAGATGCCAGATACAAAAAGCTATAGTATAATTTATTTATATGAAAATGCCAGAATAGGCCATTCCACAGAAACAGACAGCAGATTAGTGGTTGCATGGGCCGGGGGAGTGACAGCTAAGGGGTACAGGACTTCTTTCTGAAGTGATAAAAACATAGTAAGATTAGATAGTAATGATGGTTGAACAACTCTGTGAATATACTAAAAAATACTCATATACTTTAAAAGGGTAAATTTTATAGGGTATGAATAAGTAGAATAAAGTTAATAAAAATTGAATGTTATTAAGTAGATAAGAAATACAAACAACAAGAAATACAAACAAGAAGTCTTAAGTTATAGTTTTAAAACATTATACCATCCAAAGTCCCTAGAAACTAATCCCTAACAAATGTACAGTACCCCTTTACTGATACAATAATGAAAACCTTACTAAAATATATTAAACAAGATCTAAATAGTTTTTTTTTTATTAAGTTGAAAGATTAATATACCAAGGACATATTTAAAACTCAATATAATAAAGATGGCAGTTTTTCTCAAATTGACCTATGCAATTTTAAAAACTTTCTATTCTTTATATTAAAATATGGGTCAAGACAATTATGTGCAATGTGGTATTACTGAACAATTCAGTAATACTACCAGACAATGTGGATTATTATACAGCTATCGTTATATATAATTGTTATATAGTTATAGTTAAAACCAATAAATGAGCTTAGGATAGGACAATTTAGAGAGTCTGGAAATAACTCTTTCATATTTTAAAATTTGATTTATAACAGAGGTAAGCATGGCAGACAGAGGGAAAAGAATAAACAGCTCCACTGGAATATCATCACTTATGTATAGGAGAAGGTAAAAAAATTATTTGTATAATTTTAGAGAACCCATTGATGGGGTACTACTGATATTTTGATAGGAAGGAATCATATATACTAAGCAGTCTGTTGTATATGGGACATTTCTACACAGTAACCATACCCAAAATGTCCCTGCTTAGAAATCCTGACCTAGTAAATAAATGGTGCTGAAACAATTCATTATGCATATGGAAAAAAGTAGGATTATGTCTCTGCTACATACCATAACAAAAGACAATTGTGGGTGGATTAAAGAACTAAATGTAAAAATTATGAAAATTATAAAAATCCCATACTAGAAAAAGGTATTTATAAAGTATTTTTTAAAAGGATGAGTATTTCAGTCATGAATTGCATTTGGTTACCACTGAAAATAACAGTGGCTTAAATAAGATAATTTTCTCTCATAAAAAATTAAGTTTAGAGGTAGGAATTAAAAAGTTGATACGGTGGCTCCAGGGATATCAAGGACCCAGTTTCTCCTACCATTTCCAATCTTCAATTAATACTTCATGGTCTGAGATGGCTGCTATATTTTTAGCCATAGTTCCATGATTCAGACAGGAATTAGGAGCAAGAGATAACTGGAAAAAAAAAATAATGGCACTCCATAAAGCCCTACCTCCTGACTTCTATGTAACAGAGACTGGGAAATATAATTTTCAACTTGGTCCAATGTTCAAAATTCTATAGCTCTATAGGGAGAGTAGATATAATAGCAAAATCTAAGGTTCTGTTATAAGTAGTATTTGGAATAAGTTCAGCAAACTGTGGTCAATAGGATAAATCCAGCCCATCACCTATTTACAAACGAAGTTTTATTGGAACACATTCAGTCTCTTTATTTACACACTGTTTATAGCTGCTTTCTGAATACAGTGAGAGATGAAGGTCCAGATAGAGTCTACAAAGCCTAAAGTATTTACTATGTAGCTCTTTAAAGACAAATGCAACCACCCTTGATCTTAAAAAAAAAAAAAAATCAGTGAATTAAAAAGGTAAACATGAAAAATTGTTAAAAACCTATGAAAAATCTTATACTATTCCATTTTTCCTGACTAGTGAAGAAATGAAGGTAGAAAGTGAAATGATTATATTTGAATTTTTAAAAACCTGTTACATAATAATTAAAATAAAATGTTACATAATAAAATAATATAAAAAAGCAAGGGAATGGATATATCTGTATGACATTTTTATAACTTAAAAAGAGACAACTATCACAATATAGAAATAAATGATGGAAATACATATAGTCAGTGCACTAAATCCTTCATATAAGGCATCAACTTCATTCCTTCAGAATAAAATTTAAATTCTTTCCATGGTCTATAAGACCCTACACCATGTACTTCTGCTTACCTCTCTGATCTCATTTTTGTGCTTTTCTCCCCCTGGTTCACCATCTTCCAGCCACTCTGATGTTTTCTTCAGTTTCAAGAACATGCCATACATTTTGCCTTGGAAGTATGAACTACTTCACCTTGGGGTAGAAAGTTCTTTTTCTCACTCTTTTCATGGCTAACTCTTCAATATTTAAGTCTCACTCAAATCTATCCTACCCGATATTTCTATATAAAGTGAATTCCTCTATACTATTTCAGCACCTGTCATCTTCCTTAGAGCTCTTACCACCTTTTGTATCTTATTTCCTTTTGTCAATCTCCCTCATAAGACTATTAAGTATTAGAAGCCTCACTTGGTCCCATATCCCCCAAGCCAATAGGTATAGTAAAAACAAATGTGCTCAATAAGGTTCAGTGAAAACAAATGTGTTCAATAAATGTTTTTAAACAAATGGATAAAAAAATGAAAACCCAAATATTAGAAAATAAGGGAAAACTTCAATTATAATATATTAACACCAAGAAATATAACTATTCAAATAGATAGGCATGAAGGATGAAACATCTATACAAAATAATGGTAAATGAAAAAAGTAGACTACAAAATAGGATACATACATGTTGTATGTACACACACACATGCACACACAGAGTATATGTACATATATCATAGAAATATGTGAAGAAAGTATATGTGTGTGTGTGTATGTATGTATGTATGTGTGTATATATATATATAAAATGATTGGAGGGGCTAGGGTTGTAGTTCAGTGGTGTAGCGCTTGCCTGGCATGTGTGAGGCACTGGGTTGGATTCTCAGCACCATATATAAATAAATAAAGGTCCATCAACAACTAAAAAAAAAAAGATTGGAAAATAATTCATGGTAATAATAATAGGTTTTAAAAATTAGGCTTTCTATAAAGAAAGCAGGTTGCTAACAATAATAGTGTGTAAAATAAACATTGGGGCTGGGGTTGTGGCTCAGTGGTAGAGCACTTGCTTCACGTGTGTGAGGCACTGGGTTCGATTCTCAGCACCACATATAAATAAATGAATAAAATAAAGTCCATCAACAACTAAAAAAAAATACTTAAAATAAGCATTGTGGAAAAGTGCTTACAAAGTAATATTAAATGAAAAGTAGAGCATGATACTATTATGTACATCATGATTATAACCAAATTACAAATTGAAAGAAGACATAAAAATCAAAGTACCTACTGAATCAAGATGGTAAAATTATGCATAAAATTTGTCTTTCATAAATTTTTCTTTGAAGGTTATTAGTCTTTTAAAAATAATTTTTTATAATGGGAAATTGATACAATTTAAGCAAAAATCACTCATTTAATCACCTAATTAATAATGACTGAATAACATTAGGGTTAAATACATTTAGTCCTCTTTTGTAATATATACAAGTCAAACACTACCCATCAAGTATTGAAAGAAAGTAAGGATTAATACTTCTTTACAACCATTATAAAGTGTGGTAAATTTAGGAATTACCACACTTGTAAAGAAACAATACAGGAGAGTGAAGGAATGAAATATACCAACAAATCCTAACTCCCAGGATAGTCTCCTAAGAACACCATTAGACTGATAACATACAACTCACACCATATCCCCAGGAGAAGTCTGAGCTGCCTTCTGTAGAGATCCCTGTGCCAGTATAACTTGGAAAAGCAGATCCTGAATTCCCAGTGTTGCCTGATGTTAAAGGTGATTCTTGAGTGATGTCAGACTCACTAAATGCACAATTTGAGAGGGAGAGAGAAAAAAGTAAGATTCTCACATTTCCTCAAATTTCTGCAGCATTGACTACCCAGTAACTTAGGTGACAAGCATGTGTACAAATACATCCAATGAGGTGAAAATAAATGAAGAATCTGAAATTAACGCATCATGGAAAACTCCTATCTAATTTCTATAAAACCAACAGCAGTCCTTCCAAATAATTCTAGTCATAGCTTACAATGAATACTTTAATATTCTACCTATAACATATATTCTTTATAACTAAAGATATTTCAGAAATGTTAATAGTAAAATCTGAACTGTATCAAGTACTTTACAGATGTTAATCTCATTTTATCCTTGGTACTACCTGGTGATGCAGAGTTCCAGTAACTCCATTTAAAAAAGAAGTAATCTGACATTTAGTTCCAGGTTTTAATCTTGATAATACATTGCTTCTCAGAATACTCTTTGAAGTCATAGTCTTCTCTTCTATTTCTTTAAATAACAACAGCAGCTAATATCTACTGAGCATTTGCTATAAAACAGTGTTAGGTTTTACATACTTTATCTCATTTACATTCACAATATCCTATAAGAGGTACATTATCAAGTAGGTAACTTGCCCAATATTACTCAGCTAATAAGTGGCAGGACTAGGATTAAGTTCATATTCTTTTTTTATATACCTTTATTTTATTTATTTATTTTTATGTGATGCTGAGGATCTAACCCAGAGCCTTGCACATGCTAGGTGAGCGCTCTACCACTGAGCCACAACCCCATCCCCTAAGTTCATATTCTTAACTACATCATAATACTACTTCTAAAGGTTATAAAAATAAGTATGATGTTGTTGCCATTAGCTATTCTACAATGAAGGCTGATGATTTTGGCGGGGCAGTGGATTACTGGGGATTGAACTCTAGGGCACTAGGCCACTGAGCCACATCCCCAGCCCTATTCTGTATTTTATTTAACCAGGGTCTCACTGAGTTGCTTAGCACTATGCTTTTACTGAGTCTAGCTTTGAGTTCACAATCCTCCTGCCTCAGCCTCCTGAACCAATGGGATTACAGGCGTGTACCATCATCCCTTGGCCATTTGTTTTTTAAATGAGCTCTTACTATGTTGCCCAGGCTGACTTCAAACTAATAGACTCAAGCAGTCCTACTGCCTCAGACTCTTAAGATGATAAAACTTCTTGATTCGTTAACAAAGTCTTGATACCAAAAAACAAAACCTTTGCCATTAGCAAGACCAATAAACAAACAAGTGCACTCTGTGTTATTACCTTTGGGAACTTGTGTCTTTTTCATGGCCATCATTAGTAGAGGAAATTTCATCCAGTTGCTCTGGAAGGGGATGATAATTAAGAGCATGTTTTGTTACTCCTTTCCTGTTAAAGATAAAATAAAGTTATATTTCCTATAAGGAGAAGATAAATATATTTCAGTAACTGGATCTAAAAATTAGTTACCAACTTCCTGCAACTCTGGAACTGCCCAATGCAGTGGACACTACTAGCAAGCAGCAGTTACAAATGAGGCTCATTGGAACTGATTGTGGGTTTTTTTGGTTTGTTTGTCTGACAAATGCACAGACAGAGGTTTATTTAGGAAGTAGACATACATTCAAGGGAAAATTTGAGCTACCTCAAGTGTGAGAACCCCGGATTGTTTTTTAAGTGTATAACACATTGGATTCCAAAGTCTTAGTACATAAATAATATGCAATCTTATTAATTTTATTATCTTGATTATATGTTAAAATATTTTGGATATATTAGTTAAACAAAATATATTCTTGAAATTTCATTAAAAATTGAAAATACAGTCCCACCAGCAATGTATGAGTGTACCTTTCCCCCCACACATCCTCACCGACATTTATTGTTGTCTGTATCCTTAAAATAACATTCTGACTGGTGTGAGATGAAATCTTAAGAGTAGTTTTGACTTTCATTTCTATAATTACTAGGGATATTGAACATTTTTTCACATATTTATTGATTAAATGTATATCTTCTTCTGAGAAGTGTCTGTTCATCTCCTTAGCCCATTTATTGATTGAGCTGTTTGTTTTTTTGGTGTTAAGGTTTTTGAGTTCTTTATATATCCTGGAGGTTAGTGCTCTCATCTGACGTGTGTGTGGCAAAAATTTGCTCCCACAATGTTGATGGGAGCAAATTGGTGCAACCAATCTGGAAAGCAGTTTGGAAATTCCTTTAAAAAAATTGGAATGGAATCACCATTTGATCCAGCTATCCTACTCCTCAGTCTATACCGAAAGGACTTAAAATCTGATATCATAGTATAGTAACGCAGTCACATCAATGTTCATAGCAGCTCAATTCACAATAGCTAAACTGTGGAAGCAACCTAGATGTCCTTCAATAGATGAATGGATAAAGAAACTATGGTATATATACAATGAAATATTACTCAGCATTAAAAGAGAATAAAATTATGGCATTTGCAGGTAAATGGATGGAGTTGGAGAATATCATACTAAGCAAAGTAAGCTAATCTCAAAAAAACAAAGGCCAAATGTTCTCTCTGATAAGTGGATCTCATCCATAACAGGGAGCAGGGAGGCATGGGAAAAATGGAGAAACTTTGATTGGGCAAAGGAGAGGGAGGGTGGGGAGGATGGATGAGGGCAGGAAAGATGGCTGAATGAGATAGACATCATTACCCTAGGTACATGTATGACTACACATATGGTGTGACACTACATCGTGAATCAAAATGCATTCTGCTGTCATATGTACTTAATTAAAATGAATTAATTAATTTAAAAAATTGAGAATACAGTAAGATATCACTACACACCTATCAGAACAGCTAAAATAAAAAATACTGATAACACTAAATGCAGGTGAGACTGTGGAGTAAACGGGATATCATATAATACTTTACTGGCAAGAATGTCAAATGGTATAGCCACGCTAGAACAGTTCAATAGTTTCTTACAAAAAACCCCCACATACATTTACCAAAAGACCTAGCAGTTAAACTGTTGTGTATTTGAGACCAGAGAAATTAAAACTTATATTCACATGCAAAAACATACACAAAATGTTCATAGCAGTTTTTGTTATAGTTGAAAAAGAACTGTAATCAACTCAAATGTCCAATGTGTAAATGATTAAACTTTGGTATAGTCACACAATAGAATAATTTGGCAATCAAAAGAAATGAACTATTGATACATGCAGCAACCTGGATGGATCTCAAATGTATCATGCTTAAGTGAATAAAGCCAAAGCCAATCACAATTATGTATACTCTATGATTCTATTTATATAACATTCACAAATAACAAAACTATAGAGATAGAGAACATAGCAGTAGCTGCTGGAGGGGATGTGACTAATAAGAGTACACAAAGAAGTTCCTTGGTGGTGGCAAAACAGATGTCTACTTGACTGTAGTGGTAGTTAAACAATCTATAAATTAGACCATCTGCATAGAACTATGTGTATATATGCATGCATACATATATACACACAGAGACAACAGGATGTAAAAATGGGTGAAAACTGAATAAGGTCTGTAGTTTAGTTAATTTTACTGTACTAATGTCAGTGTCTGGCTTTGAAATTATACTAAAGCTACCTAGATGTCATCAATGGAGGGAAACTGAATGAAGGGTTCATGGGGTTCTATATACTAATTTTGCAACTTTCTCTGAGTCTATGATGATTTCACTTTTTTATTTTTTGTTGTAACCACCTGAAAATTTAAAATGTCATATGCAGCTTATATCATATTTTCTATTGGACATTGCTTATCTGGAATTTCTATTTTCTATTGGACATGTGCACTGGAATAAACTATGGGTCAATTATTACATGTTCCAATCCTAATCATCTACAGTACTTTCCTTCCTCATAAAATTCTGCAGTCAAATAAATTTAGGAGTCTGGCTAGTTAAACAAAGCTACCCAAGTTTCTTTATAATAGGTTTCCCATGTCCTTTAATGCAGAAATTTATATTATAAATTTAGTACATTCCCCAGGGAAGGAAACTGAAGCCAGAGGGATTAAGTAACCTGCTTATGGTCATATGATTAGTAAGTAGAGTCAGGATTCAAATCTAAGTAGTCTGGTTCCAAGGCCTCTAAGTGGAAATAAAATTTGAGACTTTAGTAAATTGTATCATTTTTATATATAAACATAAAGCAAAGGATCAGGTCAACGAAGCTTTCCCTTTAAATTTTCTCTAATGGTAGAAATTAATTTCTGCAGAGCCATCGTACTGCTCTCATTCAGTGAACCTAAAACTAAAAGCCTATCTTTGATAAAATGGGAGGAATCTGAAATATGGATTCTAGCTATGAAATAGAGACTTAAAAACATTTTTTTTAGTCAAGGAAGTGACAAAAAATAACAAAGAAATATTATTAAATGTAACAATAGCATTTTGATTACATAAGAAAATGTCCTTAGCTTTTAGAGATGTACAGGATATGAATACAGACAAAATGACAACATAAACCAGTATCCTGGGGGTTTTGTTTTCCTTCTTTCAGAGAAAAGCTACAAAGAGATAAAAGATAGATGAAGCAAATACATTTTAATAAGTTGACAATCGTTGAGTATGGAGTAATGGGTGGCTCATTATATTATTCTCAATATATTTATGTTTGAAATTTTTCATTTAAAAAAGTTATGCTGTGTGTTGAAAATCTCTTTTTCCCAAACTCTCTTCAACATCTATAATTTATAATTGTTAGGAAGAAAGTTAAAGTTCCTGCTTCAAAGGACAGTATATAGCATCTTGATTAAAAAGCCCTTTTATTGCACTGTCTTTTATGCACATTTTATCTTCATTACTCACTTCACTGTGATTCCAGATGGAGAATCATCTTTTGGGATTATCAAATTACCAACCAAGAACAAGTAATGTAACTACACTGGGTCAATAACTTCAATCCATTCAATACTTAACTGCTTATTCATATTTTTTTCCCCACACAAGATTTGTTTTAACTTTTCAGTATGTTGGAATTAACTATAAAAGTAGATTTTAAGCTAAATGCTGTTCACTTTACTATGAAACGACTGTTCTTCATTCCAGTTCCTTATTATCTGAATGGCTACTGGGCAGATATCCTATTCCTTAACAGATAATAAGCTTTTGAAACACAAAGAGAGATTTTAGACTTATTTTCTTTGTATGTCTATTGTACCAAGTAAAGGTGGATATGTAAAAGGAAATTACCATTTACTGAGGACACATTTATTTCATGAGAAGCCCTATGTCATCATTGTAGACATGCTTTTACATAATGAAGGCAGAGAGATTTTGTAATTTGCCAAAAAATTTCATAGCTAGAAAAGAGTCCAGCTAGAAACTCAGCATACTTAAAATATACTTGCTTTTGCCATATGTAATTAATATTTAGTAAATGATGTATGGCGGCTAAAATAACAGAGATCAATGAAAAGGGAAAATTTTTTAAAGCCCAGGCCTAAATCCTGATTCTATTGGCTATGTAACCTTAAAATGAGTAAACTTTTTCATATAATTTCATCACCTGAAAAACTGAAGATAATCAAACCCTTCCTACAGAGTTGTTATAAGGATCAAAAAGCAAAGGACTTTGACTTAGTAATGGGAAGACATTAGCATTACTTGCTAAATTACAACATTACGTTAAGGACAAGAAGTGGGTCTTTAAGTTAGAAATACTTGCTTTTTAGTCTAAAAAGAAAAATTGATTCTTTTACGTTCTGATGCTTAAGAGGTGGGGAAGCAGTATATATAATGATTATGACCACCGGGTTCAGAGTCAGATTGCACAGGGTTTGTACCTCTGGGCTCCACTACCTCCCGGCTGTGTGTAACCTTTAACATGTTACAATCTTGAAATGTGGGAACTTTATCTGTAGAATGTCCAAAATAAAATACTCAATCTAATATCAATGTTGGAATGATTGAGATAATGCATGTAAACAGATTTGCATTGATGTCTGGCACTTGAGGTGTTCAACTTTATTGAAACACTCGATTATTAATAACTTCTCCAGTTGTCAATTACCATTGGCAGTGGGGCCTGAAGCACTGTAGGAACTACAAACGCCTTAGGAGACCCAGTTCCTATAATCAGTTAGTACTGCTCAAGAGATCAAGTCTTAGGCTACAGGTCGCGAGACACGCCCTCAGTTGCAGGCGGAGGGACAAGTGTCCACCAAGGCTGGGAAGAGAGAATTCCAGGCAATATTTAGTTTCCCCAACCCCAGGAAAAGAAAGGCGAGAAAGACTAGTTATGGAGGGTCCCCAGGGAGCCCACGACCCGCCTCAGTCTCCCGGGATGGGATGGATTAGCAGTCTACTCACAGCTCCAAGGTCTGCGGCACGGCCTTCCGAGTGTATCTGGAGATCATCCTCCTCCGCCGCCTCCTCCTCAGCCGCAGCCGGGGCAGGTACGCCAGGGTGGGGGCCTCCGGGCCTGGCCCTCCAGCCGGCTCCGGCTGGGCCCCCTCCCACCACCTACCGGCCCCGTCTCGCCCCGTCGCCGAGACTCCGGATCACTACCGTCCCAGGGTTCCCACCTCTCCTGTCCTCCGTCCTCCCAGCTTCCTAGCGGGGGCGGAAGTGACGAATACGCGGGCACCTGCCAAATGCCTCGGCCGAAGCGCAGCAAGGACAACACCCAAGGTTCCGGGAACTGATGGGTTTCAGGCTTTCTCTTAAGATTTCCGCTAGTCTCGGGTCGGTGGAAACAGATCCTGGGCCACGCTCTCAGAGCTCTCAAGTGGAAGAGGAGGCCTAGGAAAGGTCCCACAGCAGAAGCGCACAGGAGAGGGGCTAGAATCGTAAGAGGAAAATTAATGGAAATGAGAAACCTAATTTGAGTAAACAACGCTAGACACCTTCAGGTCCCTGCTGCTTGGTCGCGTCTCTTTCAGGGCTCCGGGTTTTCTCGTTTGTTCTGTGAGGTCTTAACCTGAGTGATCTCAAGGCCAGTCCTGACACTGTAAATTCTGTATAAAGGTGGGTGCTTGGCGTTAAGGGGTGTGTGGGTAGAATTGGTTGTCCCTCTAGATTGAAAGGCAAAATGATGATGTGAGCTGATCGCAATGAGTGGGTGTGCGGATAGAAGAAGCAGTTCCTCAGGAATTCATTAGAAAGCCTTACGAGTAAGCTGAAGAATCGAATCGCTGTGTTAGGGTGGTCCCTCCGGTGCAGTGCCTTCGTTTACTGAGCATCACCTGACAGCAATAGTAAACTAGTCCTTATATTTGTAAGGAAAATTCTTAGAAAAGTATCTACTACCTCTTGGTGTAACAGAGGTATTGACCCCCAAGACTTGAAAAGGGGACAGATTTAGGACAGAGTTGTGAGATCAAGAATCGTGGGTAAATTATTTCGGGGTGAAATGAGCAGACATCTTTTGTAGTTTTGTATTCTACTATGCCATACAATGTTCGTAAAAAGGAAAGTTTTTAATTCTGTAGAGTAAGGGAGATTGTTCTTTAGCGCATATAAAGGGCACAAATTTAAAGCAGGAGAGATTGTAGAAATGGTAAAGTCACACTCCCATTCCACAATTAAGGAGAAAACTCCAGAAAGGGGAAATGAACTGCCTAAAGTAACGCAACTAATTAGAGGCAGAAGTAGGACTTTTTTTTTTTTTTTAAGAGAGAGAGAGAATTCTTTAATATTTATTTTTTTTTTAGTTTTCGGCGGACACATCTTTGTTTGTATGTGGTGCTGAGGATCAAACCTGGGCCGCACGCATGCCAGGCGAGCGCGCTACCGCTTGAGCCACATCCCTAGCCCAGAACTGGGACTTTTGATACTATTTAAACAGTGGATGTTAGTGTAGTGTGTCTCAAAGTGTGTTACACACACCGCTGCTAGTACAAGGACAAACATTTATTTATTTTTAAGAGATGGAGTCTTGCTATGTTTCCCAGGGTGGTCCCTAACTTTTGGACTCATATGATGATTCTGCCTCTGCCTACCCAGTAGCTGGGACTATAGGCATGCCCATTGTACCCAAACACATTTAAATTTTTATTCCTACAACTTTATTAGTGTAGAAATGTGATATTGGGTTTCCATTCACTGTATAATATCAAGTTTTCCTTTTAATCTATTTTGAAGTGTAATAAAACATAGTTTTAAGTATAAAAGTCTTTAAAAAATATGAAGTAAAAATTACTATAAATGGTATATAGTCAAGGCAAAAACCATGACAATAGTGTGTGGATAACAGTATTTTAGAAAACAATGTGAATGCAGTCATTTAGAAGAGTTTAGGAAGTGGGACGTTTTTTCTGCACTGTTCTATGTGGTTTATACTATCGAAATTTTAAATGTACTTTTCAAGGAAAAATGGAGGAAAATATGAAGCTTGTTACACTGGAAGACACTGTGGAGTACCACTTGTTCCTGATACCAGATGAATCAAGGGACCCAGAGAAACAAAAAGAAATTCTTCAGAAGTATATTGAGAGAATAATGTCCCTGTTTGCACCTATCCTAGTCCCTTATATCTGGCAGAATCAGCCTTTTAATCTCAAATATAAACCTGGGAAAGGTAAAGTGATTCATTCTTCCTTTAGTGTTGTCAGATTTATATCCTCAACTTTTTAGGTTAACAAGGCTTGCCTATATTCAGGCAAGCCCCTAAACTCAAACTTTAAAAAAAAAAAACTTATATTGATAAAAACTTTCCAATAGTCAATACCTAGGAACTAGCTTGTACTAAAAATTAAGTTCATGGCTATTGTTTTAAACTTTAATTACTTTACTATGCCATAAAATATCTAACTAAACTAAAGAGGTGCAGGTGTCTGGTTTCCTTAATCATAGTTCCTTTTGCTATTTCTCAATTCTTATCATGATAATATGTTTAGTAGGCTGCCCTTTTTCACATGATTGTTTTGGTAAGGATATAAGATTGACTTTGCCTGGCTTATTAAGCTTTAGACCATCATTTGCCACTCATAAGATTTTTTGGTTTTGTTTTGTTCTAAGACAGGGTCTTGCTGTGTTGTCCAAGCTAGTCTCAAATTCCAGAGCTCAAGCAGTCCTCCTGCCTCAGCCTCCCAATTACCTGGGACTGTAGGCACACACCACTATTGATGCCTCAATTCAGAAGCATTTGAGTTTCCTTAACTGCTTTCTTGTGTTGTTGATGCTTGAGATCTGGCCTGTGACAAAATATAGCACTCTGTCCTATCATTTCTTATAGCTTTATGAAAATGAATTCAGGATAGATGACCAAGGCTCTACTCACACAGTGACTTATGTGGAGTCACTGGCATGGGGAGATTGATATCTTGTGATACCATGAATCTGACACACAATCTGGTACTTACCTGTTATCTTTAGCTAGCAGTGGCTAAATATATTCTCTGCTATATCTGAAATATATGCGATTTTTTTTGCAAGAGTGCTGTCCCATTAGCATAGTACATCTAAAACCAACCCCTTACCTGTTTTCTAGAAAATCATCTTTACCCTATATTTACTCATCTTATTTAATGTCATTGCTATCTTCCTCATCATCTAAGTTACTTAGTATTTCATGATCATACTCAGCTTCTCACTTCATCATGTTTACTCAGGCACTAAATCCTGATGTGATTACTCCTAAATATGATCCTTTTTCTACATCTGTTTGACTTTAGTGTAGGCCCTTTTTATCCCTTCTTCTCGAAAATTACAGTATCCTTCTAACTTACCTCTGTGGTTCCAGTCTCATCAATTTCTTACACTGTTGTCAGTTACCTTTGTTGAACACAAATTTGATCATGTCACAATCCTGCTTAACATTCTCTACCAGTTCCCCATTGCTTCAGGAAAAGGTTTAAATGGAAGTCTAATATACAAGGAAGATATACTCTAATTGGAGCTGTTATAATTGAAGAAACTTGAGAGATCCTGAGTAGGGAGAAGAAGAGTTGAGTGGAATGTTCTTTTCACCTGTTTTTTGCTACCACAGCCTTGGAGACACTCTCCATTTGCATTTGTTTGACATTCGTTCTGTTAATGTGTACAGTGATTGATTTTTTTGTTGTTGTTGTTGTTGTTAAACTGTCCTTGCAAACCAGTAATAAATTCCACTTGGTTGTGATTTCTAATCCTTTTAATGTGCTGTTGAATTTGATTACTAGTATTTCATTGAGGATTTCTGCATCCATATTCATTAGGAATATCGGTCAGTAGATTTCTTGTCTCATATTATCATTTCTGGCTTTGATATTAGGGTCATACTGGCCACAGAGAATGAGTCTGGGACTGTTCCCTTCCCTTCATCTTTTTGGAAGACATTGAGGAGAATTGGTCTTAAATTCTTTAAATATTTGATAGAATTCTTTAGTGAAGCCATCTGGTCCTGGATTTTTCTTTGTTAGAAAGTTTTTGATTACTTATTAAGTCTCTTTACTAATTATAGTTCTGTTCAAGTTTTCTGTTTCTTCATAATTCAGTCAAGACCTGGATTATTAAGCTTTGTATTTTAAGAATTTATCTTTTTCACATAGGTTTCCCAATTGATTGGTGTACGATTGTTCATAGTATTCTCTTATTTTTGTGGCATAGATTGTAATGTCCCCTGTTTCATTTCTGATTTTAATTTGAGTCTTTTCTCTTTTATTCTTAGTTAATTTAGTTAGTGGGTTAACTAATTTTGTTGATGTTTTCTAAAAAAAAAAAAAAAACCTATTCAGTTTTGTTGCTTTTATATTATTTTTCTATACTTAATTTCATTTATCTTTATTGTTTCCTTTCTTCTATTAACTTTAGGTGTAGTTTGTACTTCTTTTTCTGGTTCCTTAGGGTGTAAAATTAGATTAATGATTTGAAATATTTCACAACTATGAAGTTTTGCTCTTAGACTACTTTAACTGAGTCCTGTGAGTTTGGGTATGTTGTGCTTTCATTTTCATTTGTCTCAAGATATTTTCTAATTTCCCTTATGACTGCATTTTTGACTCATTGGTTGTTTAAAAGTGTGTTGTTTAATTTCCATATATTTGTGTATAGTATGCTTGTATGAAATTTTCAGCTTCTCTAAATCCAACTTCCTGATATTTCCAGAATGCTGTTGTCTATTATGCCTCTGTGCCTTTGCGCATGCTGTTCCTTTTTCTGGGAAATTCATCTCTGGTCATTCCTCCAGATACCATTCTTTCTTACAATAAAGGAAGCATCACCTTAATGGTATCACTCCCATTACACTCATATAACCTTTAGTGCATGCCTCTGTTCTAGGTTGATCATCTTGTTTTGAGATGATTTGGTTGTCTCTTATTTTAGACACTGAGCTTCTCAAGAATAGGCATCTTGTATCTTGTTCAGAATTGCAACTCCAGTTCTCAGAACAGTACTTGGATCATAGTGAATGTTTGTTTGATTGCATGATTGTGTATATTTTTATTTGCAGTGACAAATTTATCTGATCATATGGTTGCTTTTTTTATACTTCTAGGAAGTGTTCCTGCTCATTTGTATGGCGTGACAAAGTTTGGGGATAATATTGAGGATGAATGGTTCATCGTTTATGTAATAAAGGAAATTACAAAGGAGTTTCCAGAGTTAATAGCAA